ATTTAAGAAATTTTACTAATAAAGTTGAAGTCCCTGGGTCCCTTCCATCTCCCCCTCCCAAAGGGGAACACAAACCTTACTGTTTATTCTTCTTGTGCATTTCATTATATTCTTATGATGTATGTATCCTATATCAATATATAGTATTATTTTGTCTTCTGAGATTTTGTACAAATGGTATCATATAGTACATATTCTACAATTTGTTTTTTCTCCAGTCTACATTGCTGAGATTAATCCATGTTGGTGGAACTGATATATGTGTATAAATATTGCTCTAATTCATTAATTTCCACAATGGCTTAACACTGTATAAATACTTTATGTATCCTCTTGATGGAATTTGCCAAAAAATGCAAACACTGACATCAAGCATTTTGAGCACATTGTGTCCCTAAAACCATGGCTTTCTTTTTTTTTCTTTTTTTAACTGCAACCCACAGTGTATTTTACCTCTCAGTGTGCTATGCGCGTGCAATCTTTTTGTACAGATGTATATCAGTATATAACAAAAGTTTCATATAATAATACTGTTCGCAAGTATTTCCTACTATTCTATTTCCTTAAGCGAAAGCGGATTCATAGATAATGAACTGATCACGACTTCCCTATACAGGCTACAACCACAATGCCCAATGGTTATTATGCCAAGAAGTAGAAATGCTAGGTTATGGGGCTACACTATTAATAAGCTTGACTAGACAATTCCAGTTTTCTTAATTGCTGAAAAAAGTTATGTATGCTGCCATCGACAGACAAGCAAGTTGCCATTATTCTGACTTCTATTGGATTTAAATTATAGTCCTACCTATGTGAAATATAAGTTTGTATTTCCATAATTAATCATGAGTCTGAACATCTTTTCCTGTTTATTGGTCATCTGTATTTTCCTATTCCATAAACTATGAGATAGGGAATCTGTCTATGGAAAGTTTCCATGGCTATTCCAGAGAGAGAGCTGGAACAAACACTCAGATGTGTAGTTCTGATCTATGATGTTTAAAATTGTGACCACTTGTCCAAGAAAAAAGAGAACTAATCAAGCATTACCTACTTAGGAAGACTTCTTCTCAGACCAGAAGACAGCAAAATCAGCTAAAAGAATGATGAAAAACTAGGTAGAGAAGTGAGGTTTTGTTTTTCTTAAAAAGTCCTCCCTTGTACTATACTAAAAAAAAAAAAAAAAAAAAAAATCTGCTCAAGGGGTACGTTGTTACTGTTCAGTTTTCAGTTTTCCCATCTGTAAAATCAGGGTAACAATCTGTACCATTTTTTATCCCACGTAGAAACTTTGAAACAAACAGTTTTTTAAAACTTTGAAAATAAAAACTTCACAGAAATTCAAAGTTGTGTGGGTGTTAGTCATTCAGTGCCCTCCGAAAGCTTAAGCAAGAGGAGCAAACTGAAGCCCTTTGAACAGCTTTTTTAGAGTGAGTCGCTCTCTTTGAGTTCTTGCCTGAAAACCTAATGGCTCTGCAGAACAATGAATTATCCCCTAAAATTACACAGCCCGAATTTTCAGTCTAGAAATCTAAGAGTCTCAATTTTACATGTGTCTGCTAAATCCATTATAGCAGACACATAGCCTTTCTGGGGTCTCCTATTTCCTGGATCAAGGACTATTATAGCTCACTCATCCACCTTCTGGTCTGATCCCCTTCCACCCAAAAGTCAGTTTTGCTTTAGAAATCAGCCAAATGAATTAGAACTCAATATCTCACCTTCCCACTCCCAGGATGAAACAGTCACAGAAAGGAACAGATCTGACACCCCTTCATCAAAGCACAAAGGATAAAACTGGTATCAAATAGCTTCTTTCACCGGAGAGTAAGAAAGTAGACAAGTTCAATTTACAACCAAGCGATAGTCCCAACCAGTAGGTCAGGATCTAGGAGCAAGATCACACCTGTCACTGCTGCCACCCCTCCTTACTGAGGTTTGACTTTGCTCACTTTCATTTCCATCCTTTATATATTCACCCTACCAAATGGTACTTCAAGGTTTGGCAGAAAGCCTTAGCACACAAAGGGATCCCTGCCTACAGCCACTTCCACCTAGAGGGCATTTCACCTGTAGAGCTATATATAGGCAGTATTGGAGTGAGCAAACAAGATAGCATCGTATGACATCCTGGGCAAGTAAGAGCTCTTTCCAGACTCTGTGACATTCATGACAATCATCTGCATCTTTTTATGAGCTCATTGCTCCATCTGCTACCTTCTCCTGCCTTCTTTTGCTCCAGACAGATTCTCCCAAAGTTCCACTATAGCTGGGGACCTTCTCTATTTCTGTGCATCACTGCTTTCAAAGATGGAGTCAGGAAAGAAAATCAAACCTACCAATAAAGTCAAGGAATATTCCTTCACAGAGAAGTAACAAAGTTGAAATAAAATCTAGAAGAAATTCACCTTACTCTGGTTGCAAAAATGAAGCTGAAGAAATATGTATGTATTCGGTAAGAGTTTTATTTGTAATTTTCTTCTGTTTAGACTAAAGTTATAAATAGCTGGCATCTACTGTGAAAAACACTGAGGGAAGAAAAAGCCCAGAGCCAACAGAATAGAAGGGAGAACCCAAGTGAGATCAAGAACTACCCACAGAGGGCTGTGGATATAGCTCAGTTGGTAGAGTGCTTGCCTTGCATGCACAAGGCCCTGGGTTAAATCCCAGCACCACAAAAGAAACAACAACAACAACAAAAACTATCCACAGACTTTACTTACTTAAATCTGTCCTTTAAAGGCAGTTTTCAAGGATGAAACAATTCAAAAGTAAGGTCCCAGAAAAATAATTTTATTCTAGAGTCAAAGAAGAGTTTCCCTGGTGGGACTGCAGATTGGTGCAGCCAATTTGGAAAGCAGTATGGAGATTTCTTGGAAAGCTGGGAATGGAGCCACCATTTGACCCAGCTATTCCCCTTCTTGGTCTATTCCCTAAAGACCTAAAAAGAGCATGCTACAGGGACACTGCTACATCGATGTTCACAGCAGCACAGTTCACAATAGCAAGACTGTGGAACCAACCTAGATGCCCTTCAATAGACGAATGGATAAAAAAAATGTGGCATTTATACACAATGGAGTATTACTCTGCATTAAAAAATGACAAAATCATAGAATTTACAGGGAAATGGATGGCATTAGAGCAGATTATGCTAAGTGAAGCTAGCCAATCCCTAAAAAACAAATGCCAAATGTCTTCTTTGATATAAGGAGAGTAACTAAGAACAGTGTAGGGACAAAGAACAGGAGAAGAAGATTAACATTTAACAGGGATGAGAGGTGGGAGGGAAAGGGAGAGAGAAGGAAAATTGCATGGTAATGGAAGGAGACCCTCAGGGTTATACAGTGGAGGAGGTAGAGAGAGAGGAGGGGAGGGGAGGGGAGAGGTGGGGAGGGGGGAGGGGGGAGGATGGGAAAGGCAGTGGAGCACAACAGACACTAGTATGGCAATTTGTAAATCAATGGATGTGTAACTGATGTGATTCTGCAATCTGTGTATGGGGTGAAGGTGGGAGTTCATAACCCACTTGAATCAAAGTGTGGAATATGATATGTCAAGAAATTTGTAATGTTTTGAACAACCCACAATAAAAAATTTAAAAAAAAAAAAAAAGAGTTTCCCATAGGCACTAATATGCCTAGATCTCAAATACAATGAAGTATAAAAGAAGCATTAAAAAAAAAAACAAACTGAAAACATTTCCTACTTTTAACAGTTGTTAAAATCTAATTGTTAACAATCTCTTTCAGTGCAGCCAGAACTAAAAATTCCTGAGGTAAATAAAAGATTCAGGAGTTGGGTGATTTAATAAAGATAAGTTTCATTCTCCTTGCCTCCTAATTCTCCCTCATGTGAAGTTAAAACCGCTTTAAAAGAAATTTCCAATGTCATAGGAATTATATATCACAGAATTTTATCATTTATACCTTGCCTGAAACCACATCTCCACTCCTCTGAATGTGTAGCATAGAATCATGAGATGTTAATATGATAGCCCCTATCATTTTGATAAACAAAAAATTTGAAAGTTGGGCCAAACTAGGGGGAAAGTTCATAAAGTTATTTCTGAAACAGTCTACACGGTATGTCAAGTATAGGAAGTCAATGCATCTTATCCGGATGTGCCAGTCTCTGGAAAATGATCAGCAGGTGAGTTTGGTTCCCAGGAGCACAGGTGCCCCAGCACTACAAAGCTTTCAGCCCTCTCTAAAACCTGGTCCTAGCTGGAGGGGAAGTAAAGTCTACAGGAAAGCAGCTGTAAAGCTATTTTTTCTAGATCTGACAGATAACAGGATACCTGGCAAAATATCTTGGTAGTAGTATACAGATCTCTCTTGGAAAAAAAATCAGGCATCTTATTATGATCTATTAACAAAACATCCACTTTCACATCCAAAAGGTAACTTGGGAGCTGCTCCAGGAACCATGTAATTAACTGAAGCAAACAGAAAAAAAAAATCCTCAGAAAATATCATTGTTTAAATACACTCTATTTTATTTTGTCTTAAAATAGTTTAACCTTTATGCTACAGACTTATTTCAAAAAACAGAAAATCTTATCTTGCACCAAAAAATATATATATAACACTCTGTTTTATTATTTTTTTCTCCAAAGACCATTAAATACTAAATGGAAACAAAAACTAAATAATGAATGTAACGAATCAAATTTCATTTTAAAAACTAGAGTTGCACATTTGAAAACATTACTTCTACGCAATGATTTGTCGTCACTGCATCAAGTCCACGCTCACACCCCAGCAACAGCAGATCTGTTAACCGCCAAGTGCATTGGTTCCTAGCCATACAATGGCTGACATTTCTCGTTCACGGTAAGGGGAGTAAAAGGTTAGATGACCTTGTACTCTTTAAAACAAAACAACAACAAAAATATTTCCTAGTTATCCAGTGATTTTTTTTTAAAGATCACTACCCTTTAAAATTTTTTAAAATAATAAGAAGTAGTGTTTTAAATAAAATGAAAAATTACAACAGCATTGGACTAAAATACGTGATTATTTTAAACAAACAGTGCACAATATGAGGAAGTTTGGTTAGGGTGCAATCATTTTTATATATACACGTACTGGAGAACAGGGATTAGGGGCTCTGTTCTTTGCCTTTATGAAAACAAAAAGATTAAAAGACAAAACTGTGTCCCAAGCTTTTTCAAACACCTGTGACGTGGTATAAAAAAAGCAGGCAACACAATTATTTTAAGTTATGTATGGTGTTAATCTGCAAAAGTAAAGATGACCAAATGGCTAAATTATCAAATCATATGGTTTGTGTTCGCAACTGGTAACAACAAAAACAGTTTATGGGATGCTCAATCGTAAATTCTGAAGTCCACTCGGTCTGGCCCCACCATCAAAATGAAAAGACAATACTGGTGAGCAGCAATTTAAAATTACAGGGCAGTCATGATGATGCATAGCTAGATTGCTGGTCTATTTTTTCAAATTGGAGGGGCAGAGAATTTAATCAAGTTGGTGGGATCAGCCAATCTATGACCCAGCTGTACGAGTGTAACAGAGATATTACTTTGAAAAAAGTCCTGTAAGCATAACTACTTACATTACCAAATGCAAAAGTTTGGTTAAGAAAACGATTCCTTTAAAAGAAATTTCAAATGTCACGTGAGTTGTGTATCAAAGAATTTTATCACTAATACCTTGCCTGAAACCACATCTCCACTCTTCTAGAAATAGCAATGAATGAAGAGCTGAAACATCCTCTAGTTGTTAGGTGGAAAAGTCCCAACCTAATAGGTAGGGGAAAAAGCTCACTGCCTCTAACATCCCTTCCCTTTCCCTTTTTGCACCTTAATGCTTGAATCTTTGCTCTGGTATATCAGGTGAGGTAATGAAGAAGCTGGAAACAGAACAAGTGAGGAAAAAAACTGCAACCTAATGTAAAAGCAAAAGGTCAGAAAAGGGCTTGGTTGCAATCCAACTTCTTCCCCAATCCACAGTGCACAAAGCACACCAGAAAGTATTCTTCTTAGAGGATGACTATTAGGGGCTAAAGAAAATGTGTCATGGGAAATAACTGGACAAAACATACTATTAACATTAAAATAGATAATACGAGAAACATTCTTTAAAATGGGGCTGTGACCTGATACTGGGGGGAAAATAAGCTGCAAGAACTTCAAGTTATATACTCCACTCTACTCTCTTCCCAATGATTTTCCTGGAAAACACAGACCAGAAATTGTACATTTCTGCTTTGTCTAGTATTTTAATTCAAGTAAAAAAAAATGTGTAACAGTAAAATTCAATAAATTAATCCTAAAGTAAGATGTGAAGGTCCAAGGATACACCAGTAGTGAATCTTCAGAAGGTCCTGTTTCGCTCTGGCCTCTGGGTCTTTGGTTTTTGTCTAGGATTACAGCCATGTGAAAGAATGATACATGAGGCGCTAGAATTGGAGGTTCATGATCTTAAAGGCCTGACCAATTAAAAGTAGGTTGGAAAAAAATCAAAAGTTGGAGAAGAACAGAGGCCAGATCAAATGAGATGCTAATAGAAAAATCAAAGAACACATGCTGAAGTACATTTCTGTAGAAAAAGGGGCATACAGAAGAACTCAAGTAACAGGAAGTAGGGTAAAGGAATAAACTTGTCTTTATATTTAAAAAAAAGAAGAAAAGGCCAGGCAGGTAGAGCCAGGCAGACTCTGATGCATGCACATGCAAGCTGTGCCTTCATTCATCTCAGGGCTTCCATGCACCCACCCTGCACAGTGCTTGATGCAGAGCAGGCACTTGGTAAATATGTGTTCACTGAATGGAAACTGAAAACGGCAGATCTCGTGGTCTTATGATCAGTAAGAGCCACCAAGGCATTTGGGGAAAAAAGCAAAGGGCATAGCAACTTCATACCATAACAATGGAAACAAAAACACAATTTAAGAAGCAAACAAAAACACTGAAAAACAAAAGGTGAAGTCTTCTGAGCCAATATTACTTCACACCTCCATGTGCACAATACATAGTGTTCTAACTCTAGGTATTGCTTTTAAAATAATTCACTAGTATCTACGTGTTATAGGAAAAAAGGTAGTAACTAATGCCACAAAACTCCAATGCTGGCATTTCCTGAATTCCCTGAAGTTTCAACTACCCTTTGCTATTATTACTTTTTGATACTGTGAGACTTACAGTGCCATTAATATGGTTTGCACTGACTTCTTATGACTTGTTTTTTCTTATGATTTTTTTTTTTTAGAAGGAAGAGAAAAAATATACCCAAATATGATATCAGGTCCAGTTCAGTGTAGGTACTGAACAGTTGTCATACACGCCTTATGGAGAGATCAGCTCTGAAAAAAGGTACTTTTCTCTCAAGACTTGCAAGCGCCTGAAGACTCAGAAGCCACACAGTTTTTCATAGTCTTCCTAGGTAATAGTTTTCTAAGTTCTCCCATTATTTTAATAAATCAGGGAAAAAAGTTAAAGAAAAAAGACTTTCCCACTGATCTCTCAATACTCTCTCCACATGCCCAGAAAACCTCTTGATGGTTACCAATCCAGAATGCTTCTGCTCCAAAGGAGACATTCTTTAGAACATTATGAATTATTGCAGCAAGGAGACTAACTAAGTCACCTTAACAGTATTTAGAAATACAAAGGGGCATGTCAATTATTTGTGTTGTGAGGAAGTCAACCAGGAGTAAAGTCAGGAAAGAAGGCAGAAGACTTAAGCTGAAAGAACAAAACACTTGTAATACTTCTGTCTTCTATTTTTAAGGACAGATTTTAAAATACACATGCCCTATCAGGTGCCAATAAGGACCTGAGTGATATGTGTGCGAATGCCCTAAGGTGGGAGTTACAATGAAGTGGGCAGATAGTGGTCAAATCTAGATATTAATTTCATTATACAGAAAAATAAATACAAGATTCGGAAACTGAAATCCACTTTACTTGGCAATTAAACTATTATTCTAAAAGGAAGGCAACTTTCCTAAGATTAAAAGTCACCAAGTAAAATGAAGTTGTCTAATGAAATTCATCATTTTCATATTCCTACTGAGGGAAAGAAGAAATTATTTTCTCTGTGATAAGTTATTTTCCTAAGTGACTTCTTTTAATTAAAAAAAAAAAAAAACATAAAAAAAAAACAAGGTGTGGAGAGGTTTCCATGAGTTTCAATTCTACAAATGCCACAAACAGCTTCTGAAGCTGAAGCTATGACAATGAACTTCTGTGTCACAAAGAAGAGGAGGAAGTGGGAAGTGGGAGGAAACAGTGCAGAGGAAACACAGTGACATTGTATTACAGTAGGTATTTACGCCTGCTATCCTCATCCAAGGTAAGATCAACAACTTCTGCTGGTGAAGCCCAAGTCTGCTGGGGGGTCACAGTAGTCCATGACTGGTTTTGCCGGGTGCTAACATACTGTGTGCCAGAGCCATGTTTCCATGAAGAAACACTCTGAATCACACCCCCTCTAGGATGAACACACCTGCAACAAAGATGAAGAATAAAAGCATCATTAACCCCACCAAAGGAAAACCAAAAGACAACATTACTTTAGTTGTACTGATCAATATTTTTACTATTATGCAAGTTTCATGAAACCCATAATCGATATTCTTCTTCCTTTTCTCTCCTCCTCCACATCTGGCCTACCTCCCAACCCTCTCCGTCTCTCAGTTTAGCAGTAAAAAGGCCAAGTGCCTTGTCTCAGTCATAAACTCTTGTGTCCAAATTAACTAACAATGGGTAAGATGATGCTTTCCTGGATGCATTTAAATCTCTGGCATCTTCATCAAGGGACAATACATATATCCACAACAAAATTAAGATTCCAAATCTTAGTTGGAACAAATGAAAGAGTAAGCAAAATAGGTAAAATTTGTTCTTAAAGTAAATTTTTTTCTATATTTGAGTAATAATACCTTTAAGATCGTTACAGATCAGACTTCTAAATGTTTGTTAAGTATGACTTAACAAATGCATCCAGGAAAGCATCATCTTACCCATCTCATCCTGAAAGTCACAACAGAAACACTTAGCTCATTAATTAGATATGCTTATGCTTTGGTTAAAAAAAAAAAAAAAAACAAGGCTGAAGTAATCAATTTATATCCCCTAAAAGGACCTATCAGAGACTCAGAACTGCCTTGCTGACAAATCAAAACCATTTCACACTGACAGCTTACACACCACATTCCAGTCAAATGAGAGAACTCAGAGCCTCCAAGATGAAGCAGTGAGTAAGCTCTGACTCAAATGAGTGGAAAGCAGGCAGCTTGAGCTACCACTGCCACTTATGTCCTCACATCTATATCACTGACTAGTACCCACTCAGCTTATGTGAGAAATGTCAAGTGGCATGAGTTTTATTAACTGAACTCCTGAAGTGGCTCCTGACTAGTTATTCTGTCAATAAGTGTATCGTGAGTAATGCAGGTCACTTGAGAATTCCAATTTTGATTTAAATGCTACCTGTATCACACAAGGTTTAAAAGAATATGAAAGTGACAACAAACATGATTCAGTGAAGACACTGCCCCAAGGACCCTTGGACTCCTGGAAAGAGGCCCGCCATCTGTTCAGAAATGGGCTAGTAATAGGCCAGAATAGGCTAGGATAGTAATAGGCTAGATTACCTAGTAAAAAGCATTAAAGTAGGGGACAATATCTAATCCACTGCTGTCCAAATGATTAAGTAAACTACAGTCATGAAATAATGTCCACCAAAGGAGTCTATTCAGCATCTATGGAGATGGTTTTAATGACCAATGACCAACAGAACGTGATGTTTATAAGGTAGTTTCACATGGCTTCACTGGACAGTTACAACAGACCTGTGAGAGAGACATGGAAGTTATTATCCATACTCTATAGGTAAGGAAATTAAGGCTTAAATAGATTACATAATTTGCACAGGTCAAATTGCTTGAAAGTTGTAGGCCAAGGAATTTCAAAGCAAATCTGACTGATTTCAGGCCCCAAAATGCTCTGTCACTTTACAAATGTGTGTATTGTATTATATGAGGAGTAAAACTGCAAGATATCAGAAGAGTACAAAGATGGGTCCAAACTAATAATTTGGGTCCCCCCCCCCAACAGTCCAACAGTATTAGGGAATCTAACCCAGGGTTTTGTACACGCTAGGTAAGTGCTCTACCACTGAGCTACATCCCTCTCCCCCAGATTAACAATTAAAAAAAAAAATAAAGTTTTTCAACAATTCAAAAGCTCATTTGCATAAGCATTAACTGAAGTCAAATTATCCAGAAACCTAGTAAGAATTCAAAGATAATGGCTACCAAGAGAATTAATGTTATCTTTAGCAGAATCTTAGAAACTGCGAAGCAAAAGAGGAATTAAAAGTCCCAATTGTTACTATGCACCGCTTTCCAAGTAACTCCACTATGTAATATATAAAGCAGTGTTTTTTTAAAAAAAGATCTAATCTAATCTGTTTATAGTACAGAAGAGAAAACCAGAGCCAAAAGACAATTGCCCTAGATCTTAAGCAATGGGAACTAAAACAAAATCATGTCTCCATTCAGGGGTTTGTTTTCCAGTAAATTACTATGCTTTCCTCAGATGTAGCTTAAAGGACTATACTATGTGTGACTGACAGGAGCACTGCATGCATGGTCCCGGGGCCATATGACAACAGCAAAGAAGACTGTACAGAGCACCTGGTAGGAAAACAATTAGGAATAATAGGTTTATAAGAGACCGTATTTACTACCGATGAATGGATGAAGGAGAAAAGAATAAGGAGATGAAGCACTTCTTCAACTATTAAAACAGATCACTTTTAAAGTTATGCAACAAGTGTGACAGTTACCACCAACCAACTTAGGCCTCTTAAGCAAAAGAGGAAATTTAATAAAAGGACACTGAAGCACCTGAAAGAACCTAAAGATGACAGAATGAGCCCCAACTCATGTCTGTTTCTCCTTAAAATTTTAGATTCTCTGGGCTGGGGATATAGCTCAGTTGGCAGAGTGTTTGCCTTACATGCACAAGGCCCTGGGTTCAATCCCCAGCACCACAGGGAAAAAAAAAAAAAAAAAGATTCTCTGAAGAAAAAGAGACCATTTCTGGACCAAAGCTTTCCTACCTCTAATTAGTTATAGATGATTAAGTCAACTTTTGCCATGGCTAGCTTACCATTCAAAAAAAAAATGTTAAAAATTAATTATATTTAGTCAAGCTCAGTAGCACATGCTTATAATTCCAGCAACTTGGGAGGCTGAAGCAGGAGGATTGCAAGTTTGAGGCTGGCCTCAGAAACTTAGCAAGGCCGTAAATAACTTAGGCCCTGCCTCAAAATAAAAAGGGCTAGGGATATAGTTCAGTGGTAAAGTTCTCCTAAGTTCAATCCCCAGTATGTATGCATGTATGCATTAATTAATTAAACTGATTATTTTTGCTTTCATTTACAGATCATGAAGGTGACCTCTTAGATAATATTCTTACTTAGTTTTCTTAACTGAAATGAATTCTTTTGACTTTAGGAAAAGTTTGTTTTCTTCCTAGCTTCTAGTGTTAATGTTATCAACTTGTTCTTAAACACAAAAGTTTAATATACCAATTCATTTACTGAGGGATTAACCAACATTAATATTGATGACCACAGGGTTAATAAACTCAAATAAATTTATAGCCTGCTTATTTACAAGTCTTAGAACAGGTATCAAAGGAACTGTTCCCCAACAGTTCCCTAACAAAGATCTATGCTATGTGCATTCATCTTCCTAGGAAAACTACCAATGAGGCTAACAGAAGAAAAGGACAAAGGAAAATATTGGCATGAGGATCAGAAACTTGTGGCAAGAATAAGCACTAGAGAGAACAACTAGACATCTCGGGAAAGTCTTCATCTTTCTAGCAACATTTTTTGAAACTGGATTGTCCCAAAATTAACATCTAGAAATAACAATTTAGATGCCAGGAGGTCACTACAGCACTACAAGGCAGATATACAAGATGCATTCAACCATTAACTCAGAAAGCATGCCTCTCATCTATGGCTAGATGAAACATAGAAGCCAAGAGAACATATCAAAATCTGAAATAAAAGAATAGTGAACAATACCAGCATACAACAAAAACTTTATGGGGGAGGGGGAATGCATATCACAACCAGAATTGAATTCTTAAATATAAAGAAATGGCACCCAACACAAGTCAGAGAATACAACCCTAAAGAAAACAAAGACCAAGTATGAGTTTTTAAAACTTTCAGAAAGCCCATAACAATGTAGACTATCAAAAGAAAAATAAGAACAGTGCAACTAATCCAAACAAAACATCTATACATGTAAATCAAATGAGAACAAAAAGCTATGGATCAAAACCTAAAGCATTTTTCCAAGCGATAGCCCTGCCAGGAACACCTCAGTACTTTGCAACTGCAACCCTAGACCTGTGGAAAAAAAGAAATTCCAGATGAGACACAGGTAGCCAAAGGAGTAAAGCTACCAAGAAGAAAGCTTCTTCCCTACCTGCTTCCTAGTGTTTGAATCTCAATGTCTGAAAGATTTATCAGGTTACTTCTAAGGAAACTGCTGGGAAAAAAAATTTAAAAAAGAACAGAGTCAGTAAGCCTCTACCCAGCCCTAGACTCAAAGACCATATAACATCTATCCTAAAAATGATAGAGGATTTAGTTAAAAATATTCCAATAGACTCTGTAACTTCTACAACCCATTGTATGGATAGCTACCAATGAGATTTCAAAATGGATTGGTCACCTGTAAGACACTATTTTCCCAAGTTTCAAACCAATGGATCAGAATGAAGTACAGCTTTATGTCCAGGGTATGTAAGAAAAAGTCCTTGAAAGTCATGATATAGCAAGGTATTTAAAATGTAGCCAAAGTCATTAGTTCAAGAGTAGAATGAGCATGTCTCCAGAATGAAACAACAATCTGGATAAAAGACCAACAGTTCAGAGATGGGATGTACGAGAGACAGAGAGAGAGAGAGAGAGAGAGTGTGTGTGTGTGTGTGTGTAGGAGTGTGTATAGGAATGAGTATGTGTGTATGTGTGTGGAGAAGGAGGGAGGAAATGGAATCCAGAATTTCAACTTCCAAGTTTTCATAAAAATATGATAAGCACACCTGCAATCCCAGCAGCTCGGGAGGCTGAGGCAAGAGTATCTCAAGTTCAAAGCCAGTCTCAGCAAAAGTGAGGCGCTAAGCAACTCAGTGAGACCCTGACCCTGTCTCTAAATATAATACAAAAAAAAAAAAAAAGAGCTGGAGATATGGCTCAGTGGTCAAGTGCCTCTGAGGTCAATCCCTGGTACCCTCCCCCTCAAAAAAAAAAAAAAAAATCATAATGGTAACAACTTAATGAGGCCAACAACAATGGAATCAATGACCCAGGCAGAATCATAACAGAGTAGCTTAGATTGTAGGAATTTCTGTTGCTACTGAGGAAATTTTTTATTCATACCAATAATACATTATTTTAAAAACAACACTGTAGGAAAACCACTGCCAAAACAGCTAATACTTATGATTTTTGCATAAAATTTCTATATTATTTTAAAAGACTTAAAACTAAAAATACTCTTTGAGTATCGATCTTCATGAATTTTGTCAAAATATATGTACTGGGTTGTATATCATGCTATAGGATAGTAAATTTGGTGTATATCTTTCTAATGTTTAAAGTAATATAATAAACCTTTAAGAAATTTTTAGTTTTCAACACATTATGTAATCAATGTTTAACATTTGACACAATAATTATAAGGAATTTCAACTTAGTGGTTACTATTGCCTCAATGTTCAAATAATAAAGAATAAAATATTTAAGGAAAAAAAAATAATAAAAATTCTTCCCAGGCATGGTGGTACATGACTTGGGAGCCTGAGGTAGGAGGATCATGAGTTTAAGTTAGCCTCAGCAACTTAGTGAGACTACCTTACGGTGACCTTCGGCTCAATCCCGTCTCTCTCTCTCTCCCTGTCTCTCCCTTCCTCCCTCCCCACCCCCCCTCTCTTTCTCTCTCTCTCTCTCTCTCTCTCTCTCTCTCTCACACACACACACACACACACATACACACACGGAACAAGAACAAAAAATTCTTCCCCATCAAAACAGGAAAAAAAAAAACTAACCATTAAAAACAAAAATTGGGGTGGGGGAGGGGAGCTACTCAGGCATACTTTTGGCATTGCTGTAGAATCAAGGATGAGGTACTAGAACAATACTAGAATGAGGTACTAGAACAACACTAGTTCCAATAAAGAAAGAATTGGCCACTCGGGGAATCTGCATGTTAAACTATAAAGCAACTCTATATTCTTGAGTTCCATTTGTTTAATTGAAAAACGCTCTTGAAATGTAACTAAGGGTTAGTGGGTATAGAAAATGTGCTCTAAGAACAACTGAAGATAGTATAATGTGTCTCAGAAAGTATAATCTGATATCACTAGAAAAAGGTAACCTCAATTTATATGCAATTTGTATTTCACTCCCTCTATACTCCTAAGTTCACCTTTTTTATATATAAGAAATGAAAGAAATGCTGCTAAATGCTTTATTAATTTACTAACTAAAGAGTAAAATAAAACAGCAAAGAAACAGAGTTACTGTACTATAAGCCTATTTATCAGAAAAATCACAACTTAACCCTTGCATCATAGAATAAAAGATTTTTGCTACATAAAATACAACCTAAAGTCAAAATTTTTCATTTGTATGTACATGTATATGTTAAATATCAAGAATATTTCTGAGAGGGCTAAAACCAATTCTTATGAACATAAAAGCAGGAGTCAGCAAATGTTTTCTAGCAAAAAGCCAACCAATAAATCTTAGGCTTTGGGGGCCATACATTATTGAAACGGCTCAACTCTGCAATTGGAGAGCAAAAAGTAGGCACAGATGATATAAACAAACTAGCATAACTCTATAAGTTTATTTATAGACTCTGATATTTGAATTTCATGTTAATTTTCACATCACAAAATATAACTTTTTCCCAATTATTTAAAACTAGAGGGGCTGGGATTGTGGCTCAGTGGTAGAATGCTCGCCTAGCACGGGCAGGACCGGGGTTCGATCCTCAGCACCACATAAAAATAAAGGCATTGTGTTGTGTCCATCTACACCTAAAAATAAACAAACAAATAAGTAAATAAAAATAAAACTAGAAAAACCACTCTTAGTATTCAGTCCATACAAAAACAGGTAATAGGTCAGATTTGGCTTTGTGGGTCATAGTTTCCTGACCCCTATGTTACAGAATGCCAAACTGATGTGTGTAATACTACATGCTAGCTCAGTGAGAGGACTTGCATGAGGCCCTGGGTTCCACGCCCAGCACAGGGGAAGGGATATGATATCAGACACATGGTTTCCAGATGTTTGTTCTCAATATATTTCAAGATAAGGGTGAAAGAAAACAGAAATGATAGGGCAGGAAAGCAGAAATACTTCTGCCCTAAGAGAAAAATCTGTCACGCTATTTAGACATTTGCTTAAAATATAAGAGAAAATCAGCTCTAGCTCAACAGACACGGAAGCCTGTGATGTTGGATGTAACAATATGCAACATTCTGAGGCTCATGTCATATTTTCAACAAAGTGTTTCTTGGATCCTAATTAGAAAAAGTTATATTCCATGTATGTATGATATGTCAAAATATATTTTATGCCATTTATACCTACAGAGAACTTTAAAAAAATTCAAAAACCAAACCAACCAAACAAACAAAAAAAGCATTTCTTAAACCAAAGAAAGATGAGAGGCCAACAGTTCATGCCAGCCATACTATAAGATCTGCCCTTTTCTTATCACTTATTTTCTGGTTAAAATAAAATTCACAAAATAAAACACCAGAATTTTTCAATTAATAACCTACCTCGCATGTTCCTGAACACCCACAATCTCTACTTCACTATCTGAAGAGGCAATATTAATTTCTTCATTAAGTGGTGCATTGCCAGCAGATGTTTTGTCACTTGCTAGGAATCCTGGATCCAAGTGACCTGAGAGAAAAGAGGAGAGAGAAGCACTACAGTTTAATTTCTTACAAACAGCAGAAACAACTTGACAGATTTCTTTCCAGTTTTAATCAAAGAAATGGTAACCTTATAATCCTATGACGGCTTTTGCCTCAGCAAAACTATCACCCATGTCAAATAAGCTCACAGTGTTCTACCATTTTCTAAATTCATTTTACACAAATAAAATATAAGCTCATCACATATATTCTAACAGTTTGTCAGTACATAAAGGCATGAACTCAAAGTCACTCACTCTATACTCTTATTCCTTAGGAGAAAAAAAAATTTCAATACTTTAGTAAATGTCTCTATCTAAATATATAAAATATATATAAAATACATAAAATTTCACAATGCTTTTTGTATTCAATTCTAGCCTACTTTTTAATGACCTACATAACCACCAAGAGGACAATGGGGTAGTTCTCTGCTGTTTATTGTAATAGAATAAAATTCTAAACCAGGCAATATAAAGGCATAAATGAAATAATACAAGTTTTCATTAGTACCATATTTATACTAGGATGCTTTGTGAAAGACTTAACATTTTTCTCTGTAATAAAGGAATGCAGATTTGACAAATCCTGATCCCAAACTATATCTAAAAGGGAAAGCTACAGGTAGATCACAATTCTGGCTCTGAGCAATTGAAGCAGTAACTGTATATTGTTGATAGTTCTCATTACACTTAAATCACACACACTGGAAAAGCACAACAGCTCATAAAGTTGTTTATTACATGATGAAATAAAATACATTCTCCAACATTACAGAAGCATGAGCTTCACAGACCTCTCTCTTTCAATAAAGGATAATGGCATAAAATCAAAGTACATGGCTCTACAAACAATTTTAGTTAAAATAACTCAGCTTATATGCCCAGCACTTGAATGTTTTAACTTAAAAACACGAATATGGAAATGTCTAAAAGTTAAGATGAAATAAACAGAGTTGCAATAGATACAAATTTTCACTTCCTTTAAAGAGTACTTATATATTGATACATGATACAATGCGATTTTTCCATGTTTAAAAAATTCTTCATGACACCTTACATAAACTATATCAATGTAAAGGAAGTTTACCATACAACTTTCCCTTTCCCCTCCTTTCACTTTTTCCAATATTTCAATGTCACTGAGAAATCTTGTACTTTCATATTCCTCCTGTCAACTTTCAATATACTTCTTTCCTATACTTCTGCAAAAATATAGGCAGTCTCAAAGCAACTTGACAATTTTTATATTCTCTGACCCTGTAAACCCATCCCTGAGAATTTACCCTAAGGGAAAAGATTTTAAATAAGCAATACGTTAATGTCCAAAGACATTCACTGTAACACTAGATGGGAAACTTGGGAAGGTCTTACACATAAAATACAAATTATCACATACTAAAAAATGTGTAGATGAGGAGTAAAGCTGTGGAAAAAAATGAATGAGACTGTGGGTCTTTTTCACAATTCTTCCCCCAATCCCCCGTACTGAGGATTAAACCCAGCAGTGCTCCACCTCTGAGCTACAATTCCCCAGCCCTATTTATTTAATTTTGAGACAGGGTCTCACTGAATTACTCAGGATGGATTCAAACTTGAAATCTTCCTGCTTCAGCCTACTGAGTTGCTGGGATTATAGACATTCACCACTGCACACAGCTCACCATTCTTTAATGTTATGTTTACCTGTTTTTCTTCAATTGACAAAGATGTGCATATGAGAAAACAGAAAACTGGAAAGCTTAAAATGGACCCTAGACACACCTACATAGATAGACTAAGATATATGGGTCTGTAACCTAGATAGGATCCTGTACAGTGGCACAGGCAATACACACAAATCTTTGAACCCTACAGCACATAAAAGGTACATCCGAAAACACCCAGTTTTTTAAAATCTAGACCAGTGTGGTTATTTAAATGGACTTTGGTTAAGTCTAGAATTCGTAACCTAATTCTTGCTCTGGCTCCCAACACCTTGCTATATAGCCAAGTCTTATCCAATTGACTTGATGTTTTAATTATGGCTATCCACTGTGCACACTATTCCAAATGTTCTACTAGAGGAATACATATTGATAATCCTCTGTCAAGCCTTCAACCTATCCATGGTCTTTACTGTTTTCTTTTCTTTTTTTTTTTTGTGGTGCTAGGGATTGAACCAAGGACCTTGTGCATGCAAGGCAAGCACTCTACCGACTAAGCTACATCCCCAGCCCTTTACTCTCTAATTCATCTGTTTGTTCCTCAAAAAGCACTTGTTTGTGACATGCTCTACACTATTCCAGGTGCTCCAAGACTACAGGGCAAGGGCAGGCATAATCTCTATCCTCTGTGAAACTACAACACATTCAAGGACAGTAAAAAATAGTCCATTGCACTGTGACTTAAAAACTGCTGATATGGAGATAAAGAATAGCCCAGAAACATACAGAAAAGGCACAGTCCCCAGATTTGAGGGCCATCTGGGAAGCTAAGTTCTCAGGGAAATTAGGCACAGGTGAGGATATGAAGTAGCACAAGGAACACTTTGTTGTCCTTGAGGGTCCAAAGGTTTATCAAGATTTGGGGTAAGAGTACTAAAAGAGCAATGAAAAACAAAGCTGGCAAAGTCAGCAAAGATAACAGCATGGTAAACAGTCTGAGCTTGATCTTGAGAAGTGGGAAGCCACTGAAAGATCTAAGCTGAGAAGTGACATGATCTGTTTTTGTATTTTAAAGAGTCTCCTTCTGGAGCATAGAAATGAAACTAACAGCAAAACAGGAGGCAAGGGAACCAAACGAACTACTGCATTCTCCTGGGGGACAAATGACTGTGGCTAAATTAGAAAAGGCAACTGTGTGTATGTATGTTCAGAGGGTTAGAGGTATTGGGAATTGGGCAAATGAAAGAAGAAACCAGGACATGAAAAAAATGATGCTTAGATTGCTGATTTAGGTAACTGTATAGAGTCATAGTACTATTCAATGCACTAATGAAAGTGGAGCTGCTAAATATGTGTTTAAGATAGATGTCCAGCAGGTAGTTGGAGGTACTCTTCTAAAGCTCAGATCAGAGGTCTAGAGAAGAAAAAGAGACTTCATAAGTCTTTGATAACAGTGGGAAGAGAAATTTCATCCACAGGACTGCAGGACGCCTACAACAGAACCCTGATGAACAGCAATAATTAAAGAGATGGGCAGAGGAAGGGGGACCCACAAAGAGAGAAAAACCTAAGAATGACATCATGGATAATAAAGAGCATTTCTAGAAGTGATTAATAATACCCACTGAGAAATCAGGTAAGAAAAGAGATCCAGGAGACTGACTAGAATCAATGATAAGACAATTATAAATGACCTTGACAAGCAGAGCCTCATGAGTAATAGGGCCCAAAGTCAATGTGGCAAAGCAAGCTGAAAAATAATGGAAGAAAAGGAAAAGCAGAAGTTTAAGTCTGAGTTGGAGGAAGGATACAGGTAGTACTGAGTGAGAATGCAGGTTTGAGAGAAGGAGATGTGTGTGTATGTACAGTTTTTAAAGATAGGACAGTGAGACAGGTACAGTGGTATATGCCTGCAACTCTAGCAACTTAGAAGGTTAAGGCAGATGAATCACAAGTTCAAGGCAAAGGGCTGGGGATATAGTTCAGTGGTAGAGCACCCTAGGGTTAAATCTCCAAATCCCTCTCTCCCTCCCTCCTGGCACCCAACACACAAAGATGGGAGAGACCTGGTCATATTTATAAGAATAAAGGCAAAAAACAGGTTTGATGGCAGAAAGCTGAAGTGATAGTCACCTGTGAAGAATGTGCTGAGGCCATCTACAAAGCACAAATATGGTTAAGGTAGCAGGAGCTTAGAAAAGTAAGAGTCATTTTAAAAGGAGAATGCCCCTAAGGAAAGGGGGTAATTGCTGGGCAGCACTGAGAATAAGAATGAAGCTGCAGATACGTGATTTTCTCCAGCTTACCTTAGCAGTGTAGACACAAGACTCTAAAAATTCATCAAGGGATCAGATTTTGTCAGGTGGGCACATCTGAAAAGTCAACTCTACAAGACAGCGGAGGAAGGATACTGGTAAAGCAGAGTTGGCCCAATTGCAGGCTTGACAAAGAAAGTGAAGCTGGGAGGGGACTAATAAAGGGCTTTAGGGACAGGTACAATGAGGTACAGAAAAAGTAAAAATGGTATAGTGGAAATAAAAGTATGAGAGTACAGAAAAGCCCTCCAGTGGAAAAAGAGAATGCAGTCAAGAGAGCTAGGAGGAAACTAGTGGTTAGGAGAAAACTGTATTTCAACCCTCTTAGCTACCCACAAAATCCAAGTCCTGGGACCATTCCTTTTCTCCTGTCTTCCTTCTACTCTGTTGTTCTTTGCTGTGACTACCTACAACTCACCTTCCTACAATTTTTCCATTGCCCTTCGGAATCCCAGTTCCATGGTAAACTGAAAAACTGAACTAAATGTTCTACTTCCCTGTGGAAACAGCCTTTCCTGAAAATGCTGCCTCCCCTGCAGTCCTATTAAGAGGAAACTGTTTCTGACCCCTATTCTGGGATTGACATCACTTGTAAGTGACTATCATCCATCCTACTGCACCAACACTAGCAGTTGACATGCTCCAGGGTGTTACCTTTCACTGTCTTACAGTGACCCATGACAGTTTTACTTCATCATTAAACATTATTGGTACCTGGCTTAGTCTCTATTTCTACTTTCCAATCCTGCTTCATGAATAATTATTTATGTACACAACTTCAAAACTGTCACTGACTACTCACTAAGAAGCAAGGAGGTGAGCTCCAAAAGCCACTTAGAGTCACTTGTGGACACTCATATCAAGGGGTTCAGTCTGCCTTGATCCTAAAAATAACAATGTGAATTAAATTAAACCAAGTTTAAAATGCAAATCTGAAGAGTCACTGTTGCTATAACCAAACTCTTTCTCCTTGATTACTCAATGCTCTTAACAATAGTAGCTAGGTAAACACAAGAATACAACAGG